TTAATGTTACAGCAAAATTTTCGAAGGTAGATTTTTGTCGGGTAATTTGAACCATAATGTCGTGCAAGCTGAACCACTTCATTAATCTTGCAAAAAAATAATTTTTATTGTGTTTTAAGGCGTTAATAATAAGTCTTTGATGTATTAATAATAATAAGGAGTGTTAATAATAAAATAGTCTATAATAATTATTAATTGCAATTTATTACAAATTGTAATTTTTATAACATTGTCATATAAAAATGTATAAAACATATTTAAAACTTTTTTATTAACGTAATAATATATACTCATAATAATATTGTATAAACTTTTTATTCATAAACTTTACTCATAAAATAAAATGTATTTAAGAAAGGAAACTATCTCGACTTGTCCAACATCACTATTTTTACCTTTTTATCGTATAAAATAAAAATGTACACCATATAATACTTGCTAAGTATACCACACTAAAGTTCTATCTTAGTTTTACATGCAACAAAAAGCGATTAAGAATCGGTTAAGTAGCTTAACTGCAAAATAAAACTTTATATACTAACTTACGCTGGATACGGTACACGCCAAATTTTCAATTTGTTATTTAACGACAGGTTGTGCTACGCTGCCACTTTGTATGTTAGATTATGGAGCCGGAGCCGGCAGCTAGTAATTCCACTGCTGTCCGCTATAGATTGTAACACTTAATATTTTAGATATAGCGGCCGTGGTTCTATTTATAAGAGTATACCTTACCCAAACTTCTTCTATATTTTACAATAACATATTTTAAAATTTAAATAATTTATTTATATTATCAGCAATTACATGCATTAAAAATATACATAGCCTAAGGGATAGTATATTGATAGTGTCGATCATTTCTTAGTAACGACCAGTATGTATATTAATTAAACTAAATTTAATTTAATTTAAATATTTAATTTAATGACAAATTTTACAATTAGTGATTTCTTCTAATAAAAATATAAGGTAATAAAAATATACTTTTACGCTTATTTAGTTATTTCGCCAAAAACTAAAGAAGATCAATATGAATCGACAAGGTGTGTCCCTATGATGTAAGAAAGGCGCGAACGGCGATCAAATCAGTCGAATCAGGCAAATCAATCAAATTGATGAACAATAACCCTAGATCGGTAAACTTTATCTTTTGAAAAAAATGAACATTATTTTTTCAACCGCCAGGCGCGTATTTCTTTCTATAGCAACGATCGAAGATTAGAGCTAGAATAAGTCAGTCCGATTTAACGAGCGTGAATGTAGCGTGTGTATATAGGGCAAAGACTCCGTTTCCGTTTCCCACTGGCCTACTAAAATTGACGTGTGCTTGCGACGTTGCTCGAAATAGCATCGCCATTTGAAAAGCATCAGCTAGTCGCTCCAGTAAATTAGGAACGGCAGCGAGAACGAAAGAGCCAAAATAAAAAGAACATATGGACTAAATCGACGAAAGCCGGAGATTACAACTGATCGATATTAAATGAATAAATCGAATGCTGATCTTTTTCTGGTTTAATGGTTATTTATTACGTTGAGAACGTAAAAAGACCTGCGTCCAAGAAATGCAAGCCTCTAAAGTAATAACAGAACAAAATGTTCTTGGATTTCTTGTTTTAGTTTTTGCATAATGCATGTTTTTAACAGGTGGAATAATTAACCAGGGATACTGTGATCTCATCAATAAAAGCCTATAATAAAATACTAAAGACGTGAATAACAATTATAACAATTTTCCTTCGATATATAATCAGAAATAATTCTTACACATTTTTGTTTTATATATATCTCTTGTATTTATACTACGTACACTGCCGGCCAAAAAAAATTGATTATACATACATACCACACATAAAATTTAAAAATATTCCAGTATTACAAAAACACTTAAAGTCTGATTCATGTCTTACTTAATACTTTTTTTTAATACTTTAACTTTTGAAAGTAAATAGTCATTATATTTAATACAGTTGTAGTTAACATATAGTATCGTTTAATTTCAAAAAATGAACTACGGTAAAGCCTTTTTCCAAAAATTAAACTGTGGATTCTTTTTGAAGATGAGTAGAAGAAAAAAAATCCTTCTTTTAGAAAAAATGAATAAACTTCTAGCTAGATTAGTAAAAAAAAGTGATTACATGTAAAGACTACGACTTTAACGAAAAAAATGTCTAATATTTTTTTCATCTTGTAAAAAATATTTTTCTAAAACTTTCAAACATTTTATATAATTTTTTCATTATAAATTAATAAATAAAATAACAAAAATATATTAAATTATAATGCATAAGTTTTAATTTCATGTCATATAGTAAACATTTTCAATTAATGGTCTTAAACTTTTGACTAGCAGTGTATATCTATAGGCAGAATATTTAAAAATCACCAGATAATTTTTTAATTACAAATTCTTCGGTCAATCATTAGAGTTGATTTTGGGGGTGGCAGTGTGGTCTAGTGGTAGAGCGCCATACTCGTAATCTGAGGAACCAGGTTCGAGTCCACTAGAGCCATGTAACATGGAAAGTTTTTTCCGAAAAACTGCGCCCTCCGTGCAAAATAGGCTCTTGTGCGGAACAAACTGGGCTCCGTCTTTCGGAAAGAGACGTTAAGCCGTTGGTCCAAAGGGTTAAGTGAGAGGAGAAAGGGTAGTATTGGATGAGAATGGAATAAAAGGTTGGGAACGTCCCTACAAAACGCCTTGCAACCCTGAGGGAAGTCAATAAACGTATTTATCATTAGAGTTTATTTTCCCTTAGCGAAAAAACAAGATATCAACAATTTTGAAATAATAAAGGGTTAAAGTAGACTTTCTAATTTTTTAGAAGCGAATAAACCTTTACTAGAGCCAAATGGATAGCAAAGCAACATTCTTTATTTAACTTTTGAATTTAATTTAAGAGAATTTTTTAAGGTATTATTATAAAGATGTATGATACAAAAGATGATAAACTGCAAGATGCGATGATCTCTCTTAACATTTTTATGGAGAGAAGATTCTAAATTGGTTTAAAAAAATATATTATTACAAAAACGTCCGACAGTTTTGGAACATTCTGTACATATATCCTTTGTTCATCCCACATTTACACATGAAATCTAATCCTGGAAAAAAGTTCTTAATATATTAATCGGATGTACTTGGAATCACGTTTGCGCGCTGCATGCACAATAAGTACAATTCATTCTATGTAAATCTGTTGTAACATTTAGTTTCTGTGGGAGTGTTTCCTTGTTTCGTCCTTGATGTTGCGGCGAATCATAATACAGAGAAATCGTTATTGCGTGTAGATGCAGCACTATAACGATGTCTGATTCACGTCGCGAAAGAGCGAAGGGGAGAGGAGGCGCAGGTACCATCTTGCGTAACAGCTCTGTTGTTCCGCGCTGTAGCAACAATGCGTGGCGTTGATGAAATATTCAAAAATATCTGCGTTGTATACTGTAACGGCGATCGCGTATGTACGTTAATGTGCATCATGTGCGCGCAAGTAAATTTGCATGGGATTCACGTCGAGCATTATTGCCTATGACACTCAAGGCAATATTTTCGGCGTCGACACAAACATGTCGTTTTCAAGGTTTCTTTGAAACGAGTAGCTCCAAGCAAGCAGATGGAGTTAGATCATCCACACCGACTGGCGGAAAGACCATAAGTTCACGCTCTTATCGTGTACATTTATATTAATCTGATATGTATTCTAAAAAAGAGCAGAAAAGAGATCGATATTATACTCACCATCGACAAGATTAATATATATCTATTTCTACTATTTGTGTATATATATATATATATGTGTGTATATATGTTTAATATATATTTTAATATATATATATTATATACAATTTGTTTGAAAAAAGGAATGAAGAGAAAAAATAGATTGATCAATTTAATCATTTATATATATATATATATATATATATATATATATATATATATATATATTGCAATAGACGAAAGTCACGAAAAATCTCAGAAAATATGTTGGAAATTTGATAAAAAATCAAATCATTTCAACTACTTCGGTAGTTCTGGTAAAGAAATAAAAAATAATTTTTACTAATGTTTATTTCAAAACAATAATGACGCAACTTTTTGATTCTTCTTCGAAGATAATTAACAAGAAGATATCGTATTCTGAAAGTAAGAGAAGAGAAAATCACGTGCATGAACAATTACGCAATCATAAATTTTCATAACTTTCACTTATTTGCGTTGATTAATTTGGTACATATATTTCGTAATTATCCTTCATTTTATAAGTTATTATTTTTACGAGTTCCATCTTCTTATCAAACACACAAGCTATGGAGTGTACGTATAGATAAATACTTAACTGCTATTTTTATTTCTTCAATTTCTCTCTCTCTCTCTCATCAGTGTTTCGATATTTTTCGATAATGTTATCAATCTCTCGATGTTCTGATCTCGCTAATAGCAATCATAAATAGTGCACAATATCTGGGCACTAATAAAGGGATTCATTACGCAATTGTTTACAAAACCAACGGAAGTTAATAAATCGCCTATTTTCACGACGAGATTACGTCACTGGACTGAAAATTTTTATGGCGCGTTTCAGCAGAGCACAGTAATTCGCATCTTTGCAATCACTTGGTCATCTGTGTAAGCTCGTCGTAATATAGGCGACATCTTCGCCCCTCTTCTTCTTCTTTTTCTTGGTAATAATAATGGCACTCGATTCCTAGCCAGTTCGATACGGCTACCATCAAAATTGAATAATATTTTAGTACAAATGTCGGATGCAACTCTAAATCAGATGCAAGATATGAAGTCGGATATATGTGTTTGTTAGTGTTTGCAGTGATGAACTCAAGTGTAGGTTTGTTAAGCCTAAAAGATTGTGTGGCATCATTGCCTCGTCTTCGGCCGCATGTACGAACGTCGTTCGGCTACTTTGAACGAATGGGTGGGAGATCGACATCTCATCCCGAAGCATCGTCGGTAGTGGCGGCGGCCGCGCTGCGCGTTTCTCGTCAGTCAAATCGCGATCGTCGTTGCGCGATCATTCGACGCGTTTTATATAAATCTCGGCACGCGCGGATCGACCAGCGTATACAAAACTAAATCACATCGAGAAGTAAGCGAATAAGACTGGCAGACTTTATTCCGGTTATGCGCTCTCTGCGATATTCTCTGACTTTATATTTTTTTCACATATATATACACAAAAAGAAATATAAAACATAAATTAGTGATTTAACTCATAATAAACAAACTGATAATTGTCCAAGATTGTTTATATAAAGCGGTATCAATTTTTTTCAAACGGTGATTTATATATTAAACAAATAAAATTCCGAATTATCATAAATTAAAACGAAAAGTTACATTGATATAATATCTTTCACCCATTGTATCTATAAACTCAACTGAAATGTTTTTATATGCATTTATAAATTACGCTCTATACGCTAGAACTGAATTAACTTTCTGTAGGAAGACACGCGGCTAAATATACATACCAATATGTGTTATGTGAGATACGTGTGAAAGATTTATATAAATATAAATCCCAGCTCTCTCTTCTGGTTTGAATTATAATATCGAGATATGTGAGAATAATATTGATTATTATACATCGTATGTGTGTACACTCTATACGTAGAATAGATAACAAGTTTGTAACAACAAAACTTTTACAATGTTTTATTATAATATTATAATAAAACATTTTAACGTTAAAACGTTTTAGAAATTTATTTGTCGTTCCGTTGTTTAAAAGTTTAAATAATTATATATTTAAACTTATATTTTTCTTAAGTTTCGGTAGTTAACAATTATTGTTTTCAAATTCAAACTAAAAAGAAGAGCATTGTAAGATTCTTTCATTAAAATTCTGCGTTTTTTTTTAAACACGTATTATTGAAGCTTCTCTCTACACACGTCTGTCACATCTCCTTCCATCCGTAGAAACAGACTTAAACAACGGCGCGGTGCGTAATATCGGATTTGCGAAGAAGAGAGAGAGGAAAGATAACTTTAGTGATACTCGCACTAAGACATCAAAGACATTATCAACTTCATTGATGATGGAGCGATTGATGCTGCTGGCTTTTCTAGCTACCGTAGCATTATGTCACGAGCCATTTCAAGTGATCTTTGAATGGAAGTCGATTGACTTCGAGTGGCCTTCAGACGAGGAACGACAATATGCTATAACGCGCGGCGATTACATACCGGCAAACAACTTCATCACTACTGTGAAATTCTGGAAGGACAAAATGTATTTGACGTTACCGCGATGGAAAGACGGTGTACCTGTGACGCTGAGCGTTACGTCGGCGAAACCGATCAATGGCATAACGGCGCCCAAGTTGGAGGCTTTTCCTAACTGGCCCATGCAGAAGCTGGGTGACTGCACGGCATTCCAACTGGTCCACAGCATAGAGATTGATCCTAAGGGTCGCATGTGGGTACTCGATACCGGACGACCCACGTCTCTCAGGGAATCCAAAGCCGACTGCTCGCCGCGCCTTGTTATTCTCGACCTCGAGAACAACGGCAAGATCCTTCGTTCTTACCAGTTCCCTGAACACGTGGCACGTCGCACAAACGCGTACCTCAATGACATTGTTCTCAATCACGAGGACGGCGGCATAGCATATATCACCGACACTGGCACTACTGATCCCGGCATCATTGTGTACTCGTTAAAGGATAACAACTCGTGGAAGGTCCGACACGATTCTATGAAGGCCAAATCAGAAGCGGTCGGATTCATGGTAGCGAAGACGCATGTAATCAATCCAGTACATGTGGACGGCATAGCACTTTCACCAGCGAGCAGTCGCGACAGGTATCCTCAGATCAGTATTTTTTTGCACGAGATATAATCGATTTCTTTTTGCAAAGTTATCAGGACCAAATGTCTCCTTTTTTATGAAATTTTCTCTCATTTTCCGTTATTCCAATTGCACATTTGCAAAATGAAAATATTGCATGCTCTGTCTCTCATTCATGATCAAGTGACAAATATAAGAGGAAGAGGAGCGCAAGAAGAAAACATCACTTTACGAGGATAATAGTGTTTCCACAAAATGGAGAACATTAATCCAAAAGTGTGCCACACTTTATTATAAGAATGATGGACTCCACTCTCTTAAAGTCAATTAGTAAAAAATTGCTGACTGAATTAGTAAAACAGTGACCGACAATCAGTAAGTATTTACTGATTTTTAGTGGACATACTCCCAACCCCTGCTCCTTCATAAAGTTAGGTTATAATGCGTTCATGTAATAACGTTATGCGCGATCGCGAGTCAATCGGAATCTTTGCTTTTGCTGCATGACATTCTTCTTTTGTTTTCCGAGCAACGAGCATTCCATGCCACATATCAATTAAGAAGACGAAGATTCTTCTCTTTGTTCCGTCTGCAGATATTATATGAATGAAGTGTAAACATACTCTCTACAGTACAATCAGTGTATTATTACTGAAAAGCAGTGAATATTCACTGATAAACATATATTATAAGTATATACCATATTATAAATACCACTGAAAATAATTAAGTGATTGACTTATCACTGTTTTCGGTGACAATACACCATTGTATCAAATAGAAATATTACTTTGCCTTTTGTTTGATGACAATGCTTTAAGAATATTTGTTCACTTATTAATTGCTAGTTTTAATTTATATACGATTAAATATGGACAAAAATGCAGCAAACAAAACTCTATTTACAACTATATGACTCATATTTGTCATGGCATGCTCTGTTATCTGGGAACATTGGATTTCACTAAACAAAGAAGCGAAAAATCAGCAATACTTTTATAACATTCTATTTTCTTTTTCATTCTCACTTTTATTCATTTCCCTTTCTTCATCATTATCTTCTTTTATATATAAAATCTCGTCTTCTAAAAAAAGTTCTCACAGTTCTCATAGTTCTCAAAAATTGAAATTATTAAAATCTTCTGTAACTGACACTATTTATTCAAACTTACTACTTTCCTGTAAATTTTCTATTGAAATTTTATGTTTATGTAAAATTTTCTAACAAATAACAATCGAATCTGTTTCAGACAAGTCTATTATTCGCCTTTGTCTTCTTTTCATCTGTACTCAATTCCGGTGTCCGCTCTGAAGAACAACGTGACGAATATCGATCGATACGTGAGGGAACTTGGACGGAAGTCTTCGCAAACGGACGGCATGGCGATGTCGTCCACTGGCGTGCTTTACTTCGGTCTATTAGCTGACGATGCCATCTCCATGTGGGATACTAAGAATATAGCATCCTTCACCGTCGGTCAACGAGTCATATCGCGTGATCACGTACTGACACAGTGGCCCGACAGTTTCGCCTTTGACGATGACGGCAATTTTTGGTGTGTCACCAATATGCTGCAAAACTTCTTAAACAATCGCGTTGACATTAACGTACCCAACTACCGTCTAATTCGATCACGCGTAGGTGTTAAAAATTATCAATATTACGAAAATGGCACAGCACCCGAATTACCAGATTTCACCGCCGGCGCTGATTCCGTCAGACTTGTACTTGCTGCGCTACTACCCACCATTTTGATACTTATCGCAAAATAACTACTTTGCAAGAAAATCCTTTTAAAGGTATGTACATTTCGTATACAAAGAAACAATTTACGAATTCACATTAAAACAGTCGATCATATTAACTCGAAACGCGTGTATTACTTTTTCTTACGGCTTATTCAGAAATTGAAAAAACGCAGAATCATGACATCAGTAGGCAAACACTATGAGAGAGATTCAGCTTGTCACACAAAAATATGTGAACGATTACTCGTATATCATTGCCAAAATAAAAAAATTTTATTTATTTTGGTTTAAAAGATTTTATTAGGTATATTCGCATATAGTGGAGACCGGGGCAAACTCAACACGATTTTTTTAAAGGCAATTTTCAACAATTAATTAAAATTTTCAAGCAAATTTAATGGTACACATTTAAAGAGTGTTCCTTCAGATGCAAAATTGCTTAAAGAAAATTTGCTGTACGTCGCTTAGTTTTGCCCCTAGAAAAGGAAAAATGACGCGAAGACAAATTTTCAAATTAAAAAATGCCGGGGCAAACTCGACACTTTGGCTGATCGACACAATTTGATCTGGAACTTATTTTTTATTATCTGAAACTAAATATACATTGTTTATCATGTATTTAGAAATTACAAAAGTTCGGAATTAAGTAAAACAATCATTGGAAATAATGAGAACAAAAATTGTTGAGCATTCAATTATTTTCATCTAAGCTCATGACTAAAAAACAATTTATGCAAGCAAATTCGCAATTAGATGTGCGCACACATTTCATTATTTGTTATTAGGAGCCGATAAAACGGCGTGGTGTCGACTTTGCACCGAACGTCGTTTTTCACTTTTGTTACTCCAAAAATATAAAAATTTTGAAAATATGCAAAAACTATTATTGGATTCGTATAAAGCATCAAATTTTCCATCAAAATCACTTACCGGTAGATTCGCAAGAGTAAAACTCGATGAAAGAGTAAAAATTTTCGAGAGATCAGAAAAATTACATTTCCCCATCAAAAACGCTTATGTCGCGCTGAAAATTACACCATAACTCAGAATGTCACAAATTCCGTTGATAATACTGTCACATAAAGACATATTTACAGTAGGAAAGGCAAGTTTCTACGATAGATTTAAATTAGCAAAAAGCCTAGTGTCGAGTTTACCCCGGTCTCCCCTACTATTATTCAATATAAACATATATTAATACACGGTTGGAACTGTTACTGTTACAAAAACATTGAAAAGGAATAAGCATGAATTGAGATTGAAACATATATTAATACAGGGTTGGAACTGTTACTGTCACAAAAACATTGAAAAGGAATAAGCATGAATTGAGATTGGAATTGAATGTGGTATTTGCTAAAGCATCAAAATGATTTCTTTTCCTTTCTAAACAATCTAGATTGAATCTGTCAAAATGCCTACACCTATCTGTTAAATATTGATAAGTTATTTATTGCAAAATTTCTTGTGTATTACCTACAACTTTTCTTCGTTTTAAGTAAGACTTCTCAAATAATTAATATATTAAATTTTTAACAAAGTGATGGATTTTTTCTTAATCGATTTCATCGAAACGACATCAGCTGTTTCCACAAATAAAAACAATATGGCAATCACTACTTAGTATTAGAAACTGAGAATAATTGATAATGGAATTGAATAATTTTATGTTAGATAATAACATAAAAGTGTATCTTATAATCTTTTAAAACATACACATTTTTAATTTTTACAATAATATAAAAATAATCGCCTACTGTTATATGTGACACGCGATGTAATATTTTAATGAAATAAAGTAGACAACTTGCGTAAGACTTTATTTGACAAAAGCAAGTAATATGAATCGAAGATGTATTCGCTTCAAAAGATGGCTGAGAACTGTTTTTACAGTTCAAGGGACATTTTCTCTTAAAAGAAATAGGTAGAATTTTCGTTGAAATAATAACCAATAACACGACGCATTCTAATATACTCAGAAATAGTGATATTAATTGATACGAATTCTTAGAAGAAAAAGTAAAGACAGAAAGATTTATATATGGTGCAAAGATCCGTTTAAATAGGATTAATTTTTGCAACTGATTGGAGATCGAAAATTCAGGAACAAAAAAGATAAATGACGCATAAGTTAAGAGTTTAGACAAATAACGGGATTAAGATTTATTAAGATACTAGCTGCCCCGGCGAACTTCGTACCGTCTAACAGTAATGAATGTAGTGATAAGACATGCAAATAGTCCCTCTCTCTCCCCCTCTCTTTCTCTCTTTCTCTCTTTTTTCCCTCCCCCCTTTCCCTCTCTCCCCTCTCCCCCTTTCCCCCTACCGCTCCCTCTCTCTCCCTCCCTCCCTCCCTCCCTCTCT